GCTATGGGTTGGAACCGACTCAATGGCACTTAACAACAACAACAACATATTTATATATATATGGCGCCTAGGTGACAAAAGTGGTTAAACTCTTGGCTGCTAACTAAATAACTGGCAATTCAAATCTACTTAATGGCTCTGGGGAAATTTTTTACAATCTGCTCTCATAATAACTGTAGCCACCAAAAGTCTGTGGGGCGGTTCTGCTCGGTCACATGGGCTCCTGCGAGCTCTAACATCTCAACAGTAACAACAGCTGCAATCTGGGTTGTTAGTTGTCATCAAGTCAGTTCCAGCTCACAGCTAGCCTGTGTCTGACAGAAGGACCCTGCTTGCCCCTGGACCACTCTTAGTTGCTGTTGTCTGAACCCATTGTTGTGATCACTGGGTCCGTCCATCTCACTGACGGTCTGCCTTGTTCACTGACCCTCTATTTTACCAAATATGAGGCCCTTCTCCACGTCCTGGGATCTCCTGGGAACATGTCCAGTGTACATTAGATGAGATCTCACCATCCTCCCTTCTGTGGAGCATTCTCGCTGTCCTCCTCCTCCTCCTCCTCCTTCTGGTGCTGGTGGGTGAGTCAGTTCTTGCTTACAGCGACCCTGTATGGGGTTTCTGAGGCTGTGAATCTTTATGGGAGCAGAAAACCTCCTCTTTCCCCGCAGGAGCAGCTGGGAGTATTGAACCACCCGCATTTCAGTTCGCAGTCCGAGGTTACCCTACGGTACCACCAGGGCTTCGGGTAATTAATGCATCTGAATTGGAATTATATAGGACAGACTAGAGCTGCCCCACAGCTTCCAAGCCACAGCTTCTGTGGAGTCACTTAGGGGGTTCAGACTGCCAGCCGTTGGTTAGGGGTTAGGGTGCTTAACCTCTACACACCCACTGTAGTCTAGCTCGGCTTTTTGGAACTAAAGTTCACTTTATTCCAGTGGGCGTTGATGAATGAATTACATGAGTATCCGTTTTCAGTTACTGAAAGAAATCCACAGAGGAGTTTCCCTTTTTACAGACCAGGTGGAAATTAGAGTTCGTGCTCAGCGTCTGTTTTGTAGCGAGTCATTAAAGAGGCAGCAGTATTTGAACAAGGAGAGTGATGTTGTCAGTCAGGGCCTGGGAACTACACTGTAGTTAGATTCTTTATTAGATTATTAACTGCACTGGCGAGTCATTATGTTATTCCTGCTTTTACTATATATGTTAATGTTCCGATAGGGGGTTTTGTGGTGTTCTTTGGTAGGCTAAGTTTTGGTTCTTGGGACACTCCAACAGTTTTTCTTATGAATTAGTGTTAATTGTTACTTTATTGTCTTCATTATCAAGTGCTGCTGTAACAGAAATGGAAGTGTAAGTCTTTAGTGAACATAAGTCTATTCTGTCAGCTTGTTGATGTTGTGAAGTGCAGTTGAGTCAGTTTTGATTTGTACTGTATGTGGTTTCTGATGACCAGTAGGTGAGTTTGAGCCACCAACCTTGTGGTTCAAAGCAATCTTGTAATCCAGTGCTTATCATACAACGCCACACAAAGACTCCTCCATCTCAGTTTAGGAGGCTGGATTATTAGAATTTAGGGCGCTAGCTTTCTCTCTCTGTTGGATCCCAGTTTAGGAGAAAGACCTGCTTTGCACCCTTTCTGCATCTCTGGGCTTGGTGTGGCTTGGAGCTCTGCCCTGTGTCTTGGCATCAGTATGTATTGAGTCCAGGAGGTTGGTAGTGCATGGATCCTGCATCTAAAGGGTGCGCTCTGTCCTGGTTCTTCTTTCTTGGTACTAGTAGGTTTCTCTGATCTCTGCTCTTTGTTTAACCCCTTTTAAATCTCAAGGGCAATTGACTCAAGATACTACCGGACCCTGTAGATTCCAGCTTGCCTCATTAATATAACTGCCTCCATTCTGCCTCATTAACATCATAGAGATGAGGTGTCCTAACACACAGAGTAATTACATCAGATCTCAAACTTGAGAAGATTTCTGTAATACTGAGAACCATGGCTTGGCACAGTGTACGTACATGTTTGGGGGGAACAGTTCAATCTAGAATATTCGATTTATACCATTTTTGCTTACAAAAGGTTTCGTAGGCATAATCTACATTTTGATAGCAGGTTAAACCTATATATGTACCTGTGTACCTATGTGTATATGTTGTTATTGTTGTTATGTGCCCTGGAGTCTGTTCCAACTCATAGCGACCCTGTACAGGTTTTCCAAGGTTGTAAATCTTTACAGGTACAGAAAGACTCATCTTTCTCCCGTGGAACAGCTGGTAGTTTCGAACTGCTGACCCTGAGGTTAGCAGCCCGATTCGTAACCACTACGCTATCAGAGCTCCTTTATGTGTATATGAATCCTTGTGTGGCACAGTGAACTTTTGCGGTAGACTGAAAAGTCATCTGAACCACAAGGTTGGTGGTTCAAGCTCACCAGCAGCTCCTTGGAAACTCTGTACAGGGTCGCTGTGGGTTGGAAACAACTCGATGGCACTTAACAACAACAAGGTGTGTGTGTGTGTGTGTGTGTGTGTGTATGTGTGTGTCCAGCTCATGGCTGTACCACTTGGTCGCTTCATACCACCAGTGTTTCGGGTGTAGATGAGTGCAAACTTTTTATTTCTTTCACGTGTCTTATATCTGTATAAAATCAACTCTAATATGAATTCAAAGAGCTTTTACAGTACGGTAGTTTCATAAATTTGAGTCAGATAGTGATTATTTGAAACATGTTCACTTACATACAATTATCAGAAAGCCTTATATTTTAGAAACACACCAAAAATAATGGTAGCGTCTCTGCGCAATGATTTAATCTGTGAGACAGGTCTTTTGTGCATGGTAATGATGAAATGGTGACAGATTTTTGTCCAACAGCATGCTGCCCACTTTTAACAGAAGACATATGCTAGCAAATCTCTGTGAAGTTCATGAAGACAATGAGTGTGAACAGACCTTCAACCAGATCCCAAAACTTCCCGTGCTCAAAAGAATACCTATGGAAGCATGTCCTTCAAAATGTCTTAAGAGTAAAAAATCCTTGATAGATCAATCATCACTTAAGATCAGATCGAACTCTGGATGCAGGGCCGACCAGCATAAGGAATGTGGAGAAGCCTGCAGTTGGTCCTCTTATACCTGCACTCCTGTGAGAACTCTTCTGGAAGAGAAACCCTATGCATGTAAGGAATGTGGGAAAGCCTTTACTTGGCCATCACAACTTATGTCTCATTTGAGAAGTCACAGTGGAGACAGGCCTTATGAATGTAAGGACTGTGGGAAAGCCTTTCGTCATTCCTCACAACTCACTCCACATATGAGAATCCACAGTGGAGAGAGACCTTATGCATGTAAGGAATGTGGGAAAGCCTTCCGTCATTCCTCACACCTCACTAATCATATAAGAACTCACAGTGAAGAGAGATCTTATAAATGTAAGGAGTGTGGTAAAGCCTTTCGGAATTCCTCACACCTCATTATACACATGAGAATTCACAGTGGAGAAAGACCTTATGACTGTAAGGAATGTGGCAAAACCTTTAGTTGGTCATCACACCTCACTTCACATTTAAGAACTCACAGTGCAGAGAGGCCTTATGAATGTAAGGAGTGTGGGAAAGCCTTTCGTCATTCCTCTCACCTCATAATGCATATGAGAACTCACAGTGGAGAGAGGCCTTACGAATGTAAGGAATGTGGGAAAGCCTTCAGTCAGTCCTCAGACCTCACCAGACATATGATAACTCACAGTGTAGAGAGGGCTTACGAGTGTAAGGAATGTGGGAAAGCCTTTCGTCATTCCTCACACCTTGCTGTACATATAAAAATCCACAGTGCAGAGAGGCCTCATGTATGTAAGGAATGTGGGAAACCCTTTTGTCATTCTTCACATCTCACTAGTCATATGAGAACTCACAGTGAAGAGAGGTCTTACGAATGTAAGGAATGTGGGAAAGCCTTTCGTCATTCCTCATACCTCCTTATACATATGAGAACTCACAGTGGAGAGAGGCCTTATGAATGTAAGGAATGTGGTAAAGCCTTTACTCAATCCTCACATCTTACGGAACATAAAAGAACTCACAGCGGAGAGAGGCCTTATGAATGTAAGGAATGTGGCAAAGCCTTCCATCAGTCCTCAAATCTCACTAGACATGTGAAAATTCATGTTGAAGAGCGATCTTATGAATGCAAGGAATGTGGTAAAGCCTTTCGTCAATCCTCACACCTCACTGCACATATAAGAACTCACAGTTGAGAGAGACCTGCAGTAGGAATGTGGGAGAGCCTGTAAGTGTCTAGGCCTTGTGAACATAAACATGACCTTGTAGGGTGCAAGAGCCTTTATGAATGTGAGACATATGAGAGAGCATAGTTAGTCCTCATCTCTCACAGAATCTGTATGGAGTCAAACTGTTGTTGTCTTGATAGTGCCAACGATTCAATTCCAACTCATAACGACCCTGGATAGGGTTTCCAAGAAGTGACTGGTGGGTTTGAACCATCAATCTTGTGGTTACCAGTCCAGTGCTTACCCTAAAGTGCTACACCAGGACTCTGAGAACTCACCCTGGAGAGAAACAATGTAGATATACAGGTCATTGGAAATTCTTTTGTGAATCCTTCAATCTTGTTGTTGTTGTTAAGTGCCATTGGATCGGTTCCAACTCATAGCCACCCTGTGTGGGATTTCCCAGGAACAGTGAACTGTCGACCTTGCAGTATAGCACCTTAACCCACAGCGCCACACCAGGACTCCATTGTTGTTGTTGTCAAGTGCCGTCGAGTCGGTTCTGACCCATAGTGACCCTGTACAGGGTTTCCGAGGCTGTAAATCTTTACGGGAGCAGAACACCTTATCTTTCTCCCGCAGAGCGGCTGGTGGTTTCAAACTGCTGGCCTTAAGGTTCGCAGCCCGATTTGTAACCACTACGCTACCAGAGGACTCCATTAGTCCTATAAAAATTCACAGTGGAAAGAGGCTTCTTAGAGGTAAGGAATTGGCCCATTTATGTGAATAATTATGCTGGACCAACCAATTAATTGCACGCTCTCTTCACCCTTTAAACATGCATCTGCTATATATAAGGTCAAGCCAACCAAACAAAACCCCAGATCTGCATTGTCCCACGCAACAGTTCTCCATAAAGTATCTATTATAATTGAGTTCTAAGATTTTATGATCACAGGTAGCCCATAACCAATTACTCACAACTGAATCATATAATCCAGTCAGCATCTTCTCCCACCTTCTCTTATCCAAACCCATCATGAAAAAGTCTTTTGATTTTTTTAGACTGTGGCTAAAATAGTCGTATTAAATAATTCACTGCACCACAGTACTCTATTAAAGAGAGAGAATACTGGAAACCCAGAAAACCAAGCCAGACCACCATGCTGTGGCTCTTACAGATTGCACTGTGTGTGTTTCATTGTGATCTTGTTGAAATAGTCTGTCTTCTATAATTTTTGTATGATAGACAGGAAAAGGATATAGTTACATCTCTCTGTATATCCAGGTCTGCTAATAAATGTGCTTTTTTTTTTTTTTTTTTTACCACTGAAAGGGCTGTGTTATAAAAATATACATCAAAACAAACTGTTTAAAAGGGTTGTGAAATGGGAATTTATTTAAAATAGTCAAAATGTTATCTGGCTGAATAAAGGTTAATGTTTAATTTTAGGAGCTTTTTTGTTACACAGAAAATAAAATATTAGATTTCTTACTGTTAATAAATTTTTCTTGGATTACTTGGTTGAAGAGTTAATTTTATGATTTGTGTAATGTGCCTTAAAGTCAAGATTAGACTCATGAGTCAAACCAAGCCACATAGCTTTAAAATCAAACCAAATAAGCAAAAGACATGAAAATTTTTGCTTGTAAGATCTTTGGAATTATTTCTTGATGACCTATGATAAACTCTTGACAATTTGAAACTTCATAGAAAGTCATAAAATATTTTTCCTTTATAAAAGTGCTAATATATTTTGATAGATGATAAACTTCATGAAGTGTATTATTATTTCATGAAGGGAAGTGTCTGATTCTCTTTGGGGTTAAAAACTTAAACATTAATATATCCTCTTAAAAATTTGCCCACAAAAACCATGGTATTATGTCTTAATTTTATTTATTTTAATTGCCACCTTTATATCTAACATCAAGCCCAATGATTTAACTAGAAAATTCATATTTTTAGCACTAGTCATATGTTTAGAAACGTAATGATCTTAGCATATTCTTAATATGTCTGTACTATGTGGTCCTGATGTGATGCTGTGGGTTAATGTGCCAGACTGCAAAGTCATTTGAACTGCTAGTTCGGCGGTTCAAGCTCACCAGCTCCTCCTCGGAAACCCTATACAGGGTTGCTATGGGTCGGAATCAACTCGACAGCACTTGACAACAACAACAAAGGGTTTTGAAGTGTCACTGTGGGTTAATGTGCCACACTGCAAAGTCATTTGAACTGCTAAGTCGGCGGTTCAAGCTCACCAGCTCCTCCTTGGAAACCCTGTGCAGGGTTGCTGTGGGTCGGAATCAACTTGACGGCACTTAACAACCCATGGTATTATGTCTCGAGATTATTGTTGGTTACGAGTGTTGATTGTGCATTTAATGTGTATGAGTGCGTGTGTGTATGTAGACACACACTCACACACAACACATATAGAGCAAGAGAGAGAGAGAAGAGAGGCTTCTTTCAAAGGAAGTGGCTCACACAGTTGTAGAGTACCACAAGTTCCGGGTCTGTGGGTCAGATGTCAGGCTGGAGGCTTCTTCTGATTCATTTAGATGCAGGAGCGAATGAAGCTAAGACTGGCAAGTTAGACCACGAGCTTGTGGCTGTCGGCAAATGAACCCAAGGTCGTCCGGTAAAATGTCAGGCACCTGATGACTCCCAGGATGTGAAAGCAGTACTGCAGGCTGCTGACTCAAGTCCAGAAACCAGAGGTCAGGTGCCGGATCTAGAGTTAGCAAAACGCAAGCAGGCTTTGCTGGAGTATCCAGTGTATTGGAAGCTGGGCCCGCTCTTGAGAAAACTTCCTCTCAATTGATTGGCTGCTCATGTCAGATCTCATCATGGGAGTGAAGACATTAGGTCTCATCATGGGGAATTACTCCATCTTAACTGCTAAAGCCACCACTAGTCTGTCTTCCTATGGTGGCATGCATGTTGTTAGGGTGCTGGAAGCTATGCCACTGGTGTTTTAAATACTATCAGGTTCATCCATGGTGAACAGGGTTCAGTGGAGCTTCCAGACTCAGACAAACTAGAATAAAGAAGAGGCATACTACTTCTGAATGTTTAGCCACTGGAATAGCAGAGCATTCCAGTGTGATATAGTACAGGAAGATGAGTTCCTCAGGTTGGAAGGCACCCAAAATTCGACTGGGGAAGAGCTGCTTTCTCAAAGTAAAGTAGAACATAATGATGTGACTGGAGCAAAGCTTTAGGGACCTTCATTTGCTGAAGGGAGACAACTCAAAATATACATTAATAATTAGAACATAAAATATATGAACTATAATTTCTAGGAAAATTAGAAGTTATCAAAAATGAAACAGAGCACAGAAAGATTGATGTCCTAGGCATTAGTGAGCTGAACTGTTGGCCATTTGGAATCACAGTCACATGGTTTATTATGCTGGAACAACAGATTCAAATAGAATGGGGTCACATTCATCATTAAAAAGAACATTTCAAGATTTGTCTTTGACTACAGTGCTGTCTGTGATAGGGTGTGGTGCGGTAGGATCAGCACTGGACTGTGAACCATAAGATTGGCAGTTCAAACCCACCAGCTGCTCCTCAGCAATCCTATACAGGGTCACTGTGATTCGGAACTGACTCACTGTCACTTAATAACAACACAAGGAGGACAAGTTAGTACCTCTGTTATTCAAATTTACGTACCAACTACTTAAGCCAGTGATGACGTAGTCAAACAATTCTACCAACTTATTTGGAGTCCTGGTGTGATGCTGTAGGGTAAGCACTGGATTGCTAACCGCAAGGTTCAAGCCCACCAGCCACTCCTCGGAAACCTCATATAGGGGGTTCACTACAAGTCGGCGCCAACTCGACAGCACTTAATAATGACAACCAACTTCTTCACTCTGAATAAGCCGAGATGCACTGATAATTACTGGTGATTGGGTTGCGAATGTTTGGAAGGATTGGTTGTTGGAAAATATAACCCTAGTGATAGAAATGATACTGGAGAGTGCAGAGTAGAATTTTGCAAGACCAATGATGTCTTTGAAAATGCCTTTTTTTTTTTTTTTCAATAACATACACATGGATCTCATCCGATGGAATACACAGGGATCAAATGGATTCTGTGAGAAGAGATGAAGTAGCTCAATGTCATCAGCTAAATCAGGTCAGGGACAGACTGTGGAAAACACTATCCATTGCCTGCCTGTATGCAATTTCAGGCTGAAGCTGAAGAAAATTAAAACAAGTCCATGGGATCCAAAATATGGCCTTTAGTCATCCCACATCCCACTGGAATTTAGAAAAACCATCTCAAGAAAGATCTGATGCATTAGACACTAATAACTGTAGACCAGAAGCGTGGGTGACACCAAGAACATTATACTGGACGATACTAAAAGATAGGAAACAAAAGACCAATACGAATGTCAGAAGAGACTCTGAAACTTGTCTCCAGTGTAGAGAAGCTAAAGCGAATGGAAGAAATGAGGAAGCCAAAAAGCGAAACAAAAAAATTTAAAGGGAAGATCAAGAAGACCAAGTATTATAATAAAATGTATAAACACCTAAAGTTAGAAAACTAAAAAGGAAGAACACGCTAAGCATTATTTTTCAAGAAGAAAGAATTGAAGAAAAAAGTCAAGCCTCTTCTTTTGGATCTTTCAAAGTTTACAATGTTGAAAGATTCTATTGACAAAATTAGTTCTTGTTGTGCCATATTGTATGATTAGCATTGGACTGCTTCTCACAAGGTCAGTGGTTCAAAACTACCAGCCACTCGTTGAAACTATATAGTGTCATTATGAGTTAGAACTCAATCAACAGCACTTAACAGCAACAACAATGGCAAAATAATGATGCAGAAAGCATCAATGTAAGATGGAATGAATACACAGAATCACTGCACCAAAAAGAAAGGGCCGATGTTCACCCATTTCAAGAAGTAGCAATGCAGTGAAGAACCAGTGGTGCTAAGGGAAGAAGTCCAAGCTGCACTGAAGGCATTGGCAGAAACCAAGGCTCCAGGAATTGGCGG